AGTTTAGTTCCCAGCCTGCTTCAACAAACCTTTAGGTTTCAAACCATAGACATTATAATAGAAAGCTAAACGCCTCATGGTCCGCTTCAGTCCGTTGTTCCGATAAATCAACGAGGTTAATCCGGTTATGACTGCGCTATAAACAGAGGCAACTGAACAGAGGAGCTGCTGTTTTGCCTGATATAAAATATAAGAACAGTATATTTTCTTAACTGATTATAATTTTATGGTGTCAAAAAAAAAACAAAAAAACTTCCTGGCAGGTCTGTTGGAGCTAAACTCAGCAGGATTATGGCCCTCCATAACCAAGTTTGGACACCCCTGGTTTAAAGTGATCTATTGTCTGGGTTGGTGTTGTATATCCAATTTAAACTAGCTTGTAATAAGCTGCCAGTACATTTCCTGTTATTTTACAGACGTATTTCTCTAGATATTATTTCTTATACACTTCATCATTCAAATACTGAAATGTCAATAAAAGTCACTTTGTTAAACTGTAGAGTTGAATTTTCAACATCAAAAAAGTGGACAGAGCAGAGATCAACATCCCATAATTAATTTTGTTATGAGTTTAGTTTTTTGTAATGCATATACTGTATAAATGGCTCTAAATAGCTGTCCCACAGTAAAAACTCTTCATGGTAAAACGGTATAGTTGTTGTACCAAACAATGAATTAGTTATAACAAAGTTATACTTTTCAAGTTCATAAAAGTGATATCAAGGCTTGTTAATGGGGCATCTATCTATTATAATGTCTGTTTCAAACAAGCCTGGAGGACTCAATTAGTTTGATCAGGGATGTTTCATTGAAGTAAAGCTGAACTGTGACCTGTAGCCTTCCAGGAAGAGTTTCACACATGTGAGATGTTGATCCAAGAACATGTTCCACTAGGTGAAATCACAATATCTGTGTATTCAGCACTCTCATTATGCAAAAAGCACAAGTTTAATAGAAACAGTGAATGCAAAGCAAGGCAACTAAAACTTCTGTCAATGAGAGACTGACTGTGTTCATACAGAGCTCAGTCTGAGGCCTACCCTCTGACCATGCTGATCAGGCTCTTTCATCCTCCTCATCCTCCTTCTCCTCCTTCTTTTCCTTCCCTCTTTTTAGGTTGTCGCCATTGTTCATATCTAAAATTGTAACACCTGTGTCTATTCTGGCTCATATTTTGCACATGCAGCTGTGAAAAAAATAATACAGAACTGGCACACATTCATACAGCTATCGTATCATTCCAAGTGTTTTATTTGTTTTTAACTGTCACTCTTTCTGTTTGGTGTTTTGTAACAAGAGCATCACAGTGCAAATCTGTTATAGTGGACACACATCTGTTTAGACTTTTGTGTAAAGAGTGTCTGAAACTGCCTGAGCTTAAGTTATTACAGAAAGACCATGGCTTTATTCCATTAAGAATTTGGCTGAAAAATATCAAATGCATGTAGTATTAATAGATTATTATTATTATCAGTTTTGGGTAAACGATTTAAAAAAAGTAATGAATTACTACAACATTAAAGTTGTATTTACAGCTCTTCCAGAATACTTATCAATATTTCTTGAAACTAGTAACTGAACACACAAACAAATATCCACAAATACACTACAGCAATGGACTTGTAGTTTTGTAGAATTGGTGTTAATAAGGTAAGAGTGAAGAGTTTCAGTGAGTCTGTGTCAGTTTTCACGTTTAGTGTCTGAGCATTTAAAAAAGGCTGTAAATTGCTTTTCTACCATATCTAAAATATAATTAAATTACTCAAGAAGAAATGTAATCACTTCACTCAATACTATCAGAATCTCTATAAATCTCAGTGCATAGGAAATATAAATCAAACATTTTTTATTCTTTAAATATAATTTAAACCTGGCCTTTTAGCTTTCCTAACTTAAACAAATACTTTATTATCAACATGTTATTTAGATAACAAACAGAACTCTGGAAAAAGTTAAACATATAAAAAGTTTCCAAGTGATTTAACTATATATTATACTATATATATATATATATATATATATATATATATATATATATATATATATATATATATATATATATATATATTATATTATATTATAGAACTGGCAAATGTCTTAATTCATTGTTTACATTTGAATGAAATAAACAGGCTTGAAGTATTTCTTATTTTATTATTTTTTACATTTTTTAAGTTTTAGAAAAAATATATATTCACTTTGTGATTTCGTTACAGTAATTAAACTGATTATTTTGGACTATACTCCCATCACTGATTATATTTATCTTTATCTAAAATGTAATTAAATTACTCAATAAGAAATTTATTCACTCATACTATTTATAATATATGTAAATCTCAGTGCAAAGGAAATATAAATAATACACTTTTCATTCTTTAGAAAAATGATTTAAACCTGGCATTTTAGCTTTCTTAACTTAAACAAATACTTATTAACATGTTATTTAGATAAACAGAACTCTGGAAAAAAAGTTAAACATGTATACAAAAAGTTTCCAAGTGATGATACCATTTATTATACACGGATATACATCAAATTATATATTATATTCCGCCTAATTTCCTCCCGGTTGGACTCGGAGCTCCTCTCCTCCTTTCGTTCCCGGGCAGCTGAGCTCTTTGTAGCCGGAGGGAGCGTAGCTGCGGGCGGGGGAGGTGCGCGGTGCGGTCGCTGACAGTGTAGGACAGACAGACAGTTCAAAGAACACACAAACCAGGAAAACGTTTGATTCTGTTGCGTGTCGCTCTCGCGGGCCGTTTCGCGCTATTATGCCACAGTATTTCTCGGATCTGCTACTGTACCGCCTAAGTTACATACTGTAACTTACTTCCGTGTTATCCATTCCCTCGGGGATACAACGCGATCTGCGCAGAAACAGTACGATTCAAACCTAGAATAAAGTACCGTGCTTAAGGACACCAAATATAAGGCTTTCTTGACGCAGTTTGGTCATTTTCATTTAAATACTATTTAAAGTGCAATTTTATTCATACTGTCTCTTTTATTCTGTGAAGTAACCATAGTAACTTGCTGCCGCCATCTTTATTTTTACGCACTTCGCCTCTGATTCGTCAGATCAATAGGGGGCGTGACATCCTCCTTGTATCTTTCTGATTGGCCAGATCCCAAAAGTGTGTATCATTGCGTCATTGCAGTTCTCCTAGAGGGCGCTGTGTTATACACACTTTTGGGGTGGGGGGATACACACTTAGATACACAAATCATGTAAAAGTGCATTTTGAGGACAAGTGAGATTTTAAGCCAGGACACCATTTTGAAGCATGCTGAATACTGCTATATGGTCAGACAAATGAGGACCAAGAAAAAGTCCTCATTTGTCAAGGTGGTCCTCATTTTACTGGTGTGTACTCTGGCGAAAGTCCTCATTTTGGACATAAGCAAGTACACACACACACACACACACACACACACACACACACACACACACACACACACACACACACACACACACACACACACACACACACACACACACACACACACACACACACACCTTAAACCCTACTTTTGGGGATTTTTTCATCCACTCTGGGATGATTTTGAGTCTTAATTTGGCCAAAACTTTTTCCACGTTTCAGTTAGCTGAATATTTTTTTTTGTGACAGATTTAATTTTGACACATATTTTGAAAAAATGCTTTAAATAAAAAAAAAAAAAACTCAACGATGCAAATGCAAATTGACTATCTTTGTTCAGGATGTTCAGGATGAATACATCTACTAAAGTAAACTGCTGTAAAAATGCATCAGATAAATATATTTTTTTCACATTTATTTCATAAATCTGGTAATCAACATCAGTCTTGATCAAAACTACTAAATTGCGTTGTAAATGACAGGATTTTAACTCTTTAATTGCCAAATTCAAAGATGATGTTACTGATTTAGTGAAAAAAACACAGTAAATATAAAAAGTAATTGTGGACTGGATTTATTTGACCTTATATCAACGTCTCAGACATGAAACAACATTGTTTTTTATTGATTTTCATTTTTTCTCCCTAATTTACTGTTGATGGCTGCTTTGCCCCATTGACTTCCATTATAACCACATTTTTTTATTTCAAAATAACGATACCATATAATCATGCGTTTTTAATTGTTGGTGGTTTTCCCTGTTGGGAGGAGGTACATTTGTAATATATACTGTTGGTCATCAGTTGGCACCATTGACCCTTTAAATAGGCTTGTGCAAAAAAAGCTTAGTTTCTGGAGTATAACAACTAATTAAAGAGTGTGTATGTGTGTCTGAGTGTGTGAGAATGACCTTTGCACATTTACCTTGATGTGTTTGAGAAAATCTATATATGCATCTCAGCTCTCAGAAATACATAGAGTAAACAAAAACAAAGACTGTGTATCTATGCACCAACAAATGTGGTAATAATGGTAGTCAATGGGACAAAAAGAACCCCCAAGAGTAAATTAAGGAAAACAAATGTAAATCTAACAATGAAACAAAGCCAATGTTGTTACTTATCATTTACATGTCCAAGACTGTGATCTAGTTTACAATTACTATATAAATTGAAAATACGCCGTTTTTTTCACCAAATCAGTGACCATTTGTGAATTTGACAATTAAAGAGTTAAAATCCTGTAATTTTCTAAACAATTTAGTAGTTTTGATCAGGACTGAGGTTGATCAACAGATTTATCCAAAAAAAAAAAAAAACTTTTAAAAAGTGGATGTTTTCATCCCTAACATAAAAGGGTAGTCAATTTAAACAGTGCACAAGGGTTAAAGACAAATGCAAATTATATAGTTTTACTCTATTATGGTTAAGCGTTGCAATGACTTTGTAGTCACTCCACAAATTACACTTGCTTTGAACTCTAGTGCTGGTCAGCTATAATCCTGAATCAACATTGCAGATCCTGCAGTGTGACTATTGTAGATGCACACATTGCGATACTGATGCCAAACAATATACTGTATTGTGCAGCTCTACTAAATATGCTTAAACATGCCATTAGATCCAGGAGAAACTGAAAGCTCTGCAAGAAGAGAGAGAGAAGCTTTCCGATAACTGGCAGCTCAGGCAGAAATGGCTGGAGAACACATATCTGGAGCAGGTGTTTTACAGAGACACTGAGTACATGGAGAAGATCACCAACTCTCAAGAGGTCAGTACTACTGCAGCAAAGCAGCTTCAACAAACTTTTAAACTCTTCTTTAATTATTTTCTGATGATTTTATATATATATATAGTGTTAGATCGCAAGCTCATTTCAGACTTAAGTTTGCAGCTAGACATTTATATCCTTGAGGCTAACAACTTTTGTAACTTTGCAGATCCAGTTGAAGAACAGTGATTTAGGAACGACAGTGGATGATGTTGAAAGTTTGATTAAGCGCCATGAGGCCTTTGAAAAACTTCTTCATTCTCAGGAAGATAAGGTGGGTTAGTTTTTAACCTACAGTATGGTCTGAAACATCAAACCCATTTTAATGATGTCCTGACAGAGTAGAGATGATTGAGTGTCTCATTGTGTCAATGTAGATGGTGGCTCTTCAGGAATCAGCAGAGCGTTTAAAGACAGAAGGTTTAACACGAGAAAAAAACAGCAATATTAAGAACAAACTCAAAGCTCTTCAGGAAAGGAGGGAACGGATTAAAGATCTGTCTGGCAAACGAAGAGAGGATCTTGAGGTCTCAAAGCTTCACTGTATTTTCAGCCGAGATGTGTCTGAGGTAAATGTGTCATTTCTAATCCAAATGACCTTTAACAGTAAGAAGCAAACCAAATAATTGCATGGTTTACTCATAATATAGGCAGAGGAATGGATCACAGATCGTATGAACAAGATACAAGATGACTCCAAAATGGACATGAGCAACCTTCAGACTAAAATGAAGATGCTGCAGAAGCATCAGGTGTTTGAAGCTGAGATTCTGGCCCATGGAAATATCATTGAATCTGTCCAGCAGGTGAGTCTCCGGTGGTTCACGAGTCAGAGATTAGCCTATATTTATTTGTTCTTTTTTTAGTCTTTATAAATATATTTGACATATATTGTGACATGCTTGTCTCAAGGCTGGAAATGAGCTGGTGACCATGCATCACCCAAAATCAAAGGAGATACGCCAGACTGTTTCAGCGCTCATCTCTCATTGGAAGGCTCTAAAGCAAGAGCTTGCGGTGCGTGGAAAGGTTCTAGAGGATAACCGTGATTTTCTTGAGTTCCTGCAGAAAGTGGAACAGGTTGAAGTTTGGATTAGGCAAAAGGTGAATAAATGAGGGCATTCCATCAGTACTGCTATACCCAGAATTAATGTCGAGTTTCATTGACCTCAAATCTTTGGTTTATAGGAGGTGATGATAAATGTTGGAGATGTCGGGGAGGATTATGAACACGGTCAGCAGCTGCTGAAGAAGCTCAGTGAATTCAGAGGGTCAGGCTCTGGAGTAAGTCTGCTGTTCTGTTTGGTCTAAAAATGTTAAAGAGCCCCTATTATGCATGATAAAAGGTCATATTTTGGTTTTGGGGGTCTTCAACAACATGCTGATATGCATGCAAGGTCAAAAAACACTTTCATTGTCTTAAAATATGCATTTATTTTTACCCTAATACTCCCTTATGATTCTTTCAGCGATTCATTTGTTCCCAAACCCCTCCTTAGCACTATGCTAATCTGCACTGATTGGTCTGATGACCCAGTCTATTGCGATTGGTCGACTGCAGTTAAACAGCAGCATATTGCGCTATTCTTAACCATAAGTTAAAACAGTGACAGACATTCAGTATTAATCCACACAGTGGCAAAAGCTGAACTATTTTGAAACTCAACCGCTGCAAGTGTGTAGGAACAGCTAATGGTGGCCATAGCAACAACAAACAGCAGAGGATCGCAAGCTCACAAACGCATTTAAATCTGTAAACAAGGGGGCACTTAGATGCAATATGAGAATATAAAGAGTTAACCTGATACCATACAAGGTTACAAGTAACAAGACACAATTAAATACATAATTTGCAAGCTAAAGAAAACAAGGAGGCAATCATTTAACTCACATTTACTTACCTGTGAAATGGAGGAACAAACTGATCCATGAACTGTGTACTGTAAAGTTCCTGTCAAGCTCTGACAAAGTCCCATACATCAATAGTCTTTTCTGATCCTTCCTTTAACAAACAGCTCACAAATCCCCCATTGTAAGCATGTAGATTACAGAAGTACTCGTCAGAAAAATAACAGTTACACAGCACAAGGCTGGGGCTATAATGCTGAGGTATTTTCGCAAAAATAAACTTCAACCACTGACTCTTCACAGCCTCATCTTTGGGTAGGGAAAACAACACTAACTTTCCCTCACTCTTCAGAGCACAGTATTTCACTTCACTTAGAGCTTAGTTACACACTGAATGTAAGGTCATTTTCAAAAACCCATAATAGGGGCTCTTTAACTTAATAGGTTGTCATGTCATTCCCATGTTTTAGGTTCTCATGTCGTTGCAAACTCATAAGAAGTTAGTCCTTCTTTGGAAAACAATGGAGAAATATTTCTTAATGCAGTGATATTTTTTGACCAAGTGGTTTTCATCCTTTAGGATGTGACTGTTGACGATGCTCACATCAAGACAATCAACACTTTGGCCGCTCGACTTGAGAGACAGAACAGTGATGAGCTGGTGACTGTGAAAAAGCGTAGGCAGCAGCTCAATGAAAGGTACATCCTCCTATTAAAATCAGCTCAGATCCCTGTTCATTTAAGACAATGCACTCATCCTCTGTTATCGCAAGCTTATTGTTGCTTGTTTTGACTTTCTTGTCATGTTCCCAACAGATGGAGGAATTTCCATGGCAACCTGAGCAGCTATAAGAGGAAGCTGGAGGCAGCGTTGGAGGTCCACGCATTGATCCGAGAACTAGAGGAGGTCCGGGACAGAGCTGGAGAGAAGGTGACAGTCAGAAAAACTAGATGTGTCGGAATATGAACCCAACTTTGACTTTAAACCCAATATGAGAGTTTTGAAAATAAAGCATTACCTTTTTCATAGTTAATCACTCATTTCATTTTGATCACGTAAAATGAAAGAGTTTTTGTTATTACTTTACAATATGACCGAATCTTACATTCATTTGTTTTTGAATTATTTTTTGTCGACCACAGATGCTGTTGCTCCAGGGTCAGGGTTGCGGGTTGGATGTTGAAAGTGTGGAGAACCTCATTCGCAGACATGAAGAGATGGAGAGGGAGGCCAGGGTCATCCAGGAGAGAGGCGCTGTGAGTAGAACGGACAGCTGCTTTACAAAGAGCACATTCATCCATATTAATCAGAGCACTGTGGGTAGCATGTCCTTTACAATATCTATTGTGTGTGCTTGCTTTGTGGTTAAAGGCTTTATAGAAAAAACTCTCAGCACCTTTCAATGAAGTAACTGCTGTACACACAAAAGCCTTTAAATAAACCATTCATGGTGCATTATCTGCTGCAGGATGAGGGTTTGTGTAACTCATTAAAGCTAGTCTGCTTACAAGAAGGGTTACAAAGAACACAATTGCTCTAATTTGTAAAACCAGGCCCTGGAAAAGGAGACTAAAGATCGGTTGAAGAGACACTGCGATCTGTCTGACAAACTTAGCAAGAAGCAGGAAGAGGTCAAAATTGCTTTAGTCAAGCTGGACAAGGAAATCAAACGAAGGTATGCAACCATTGGTTTCTGTATTGTTCAATTATAAGAAAAAAATAACAATGTACAGTGGTAAAAATGAATGGATAAAAATATCCATAAAATGAGAAAGAACACTGATTCCTGTGGTAGGAAGGAGCGATTGCAGGAGTCTCATCAGCTCCAGCTGTTTAAAGCGAATCAGCGTCTGCTTTTGGACTGGACCCTCAAGCAAAGTGATGAGATGGTGAAGAAAGGCCTGCCTAAGAATAAAACCGAAGCTGAGAGTTTCATATTAGAACATCACGACTGGAAGGTATATTAAGACGCTTTTATTCCTGTTTAAAATCTATTAAAACCCTTTTCTTTCTGATTTACTATAGTAGACTGTTGTTGTTTTGTGCATACTTATCTTTTTTTCTGTCAAACCCAAAGCTAACATCAACAGTTTTACAGTTGTTTATTTACTAGACATTGGTGGCTTACACTGATTTAAAAAGGACAAGATGGTGTTTAAAATAGGAAGATGCACTGATGTATCAGCACCTGATATTGGGAGATTTGGATTCAATTTAAAATTATTATCATGATTGCATGGAAGAAGATGATATTGATGATTTATTAATCAATGAGTTGAACATTCTAGTGTTTCAATAATATTGAATACTGTTAAGTAGCACCTAAATGAACTCTGTACAAAATATATTTACTTATTGTTATCTGTTGAATGTCAAATTAATGTTCAAGGAAAATAATTTTGGGGCATCACAGTGGCGCAGTGGGTAGCACGATCGTCTCACAGCAAGAAGGTCACTGGTTCGAGCCTCGGCTGGGTCAGTTGGCGTTTCTGAGTGTGCATGTTCTCCCTGCGTTCGCATGGTTTTCCTCTTGGTGCTCCGCTTTCCCCCACAGTCCAAAGACATGAGGTGTAGGTGAATTGAATGAACAAAATTGTCAGTAGTGTATGTAAAGCTAGTTGATGGGTGAGCAAATGGTAGATCGGCATCAGTAGTTATTAGTTAAAATCGGTATTAGTACTTGCAAAAAAAAAAAAAAAAAAAAAAAACCTTACTGGTGCATACCTACAACCAAAACTCAAGATGCAAGTTAAAATCCTATTTATTATACAAATCATACTTAAATCATAATTTTTTTTAATGGTTTCATCTTTAACAACTTAATCCCAGACCTTTGAAAAAAATGAACATGAGGGAATTTTAAAAGTGTGACTTCTGAAAGTGGAAAAATCCTATTTTTTAAATCTTAAAATGTCATGTATATATATTTATAATTACATCATTCATTTTTCTATGGCTTAGTCCCTTTTTTATCAGAGGTCACCACAGTGGAATGAACCACCATAATGACATAATAGTTTACAATTAAATATATAATATACTACTTAAATGAAAGTGTAAATATTTTATTGAGTCCTAACTGCTGTTTAAGAGTACGCATTATTTTCAAAAACAAAATATCCCTTAAATGAAAACCTCATGAACATTCAGTAAAACTTTCTGGAAGTGTGGCACAAGAAATAAAAACGTTTGGAAATGAGCAGATCTACTGTTAGAATAGAAGAGCATAGGGGGTCTTGGAGTCAAAAAAAAAAAAAAGTTGAGAATTACGGTGTTGAAGATACTATTATATGAAGACTTTGTGTTTTATCTACATTTAATGTTTGCAGGCTGAAATTGATGCTCGTGGCGATCGGATAGATTCAGTTAAGAGTTTCGGACAGAATCTTGTGAAGTCTGGACACAGTGATGCAGCAGAGATTAAAGAAGCCCTACGCAAGCTGGATGATGCCAAGACAATGCTTACCCGAGCTTGGGAGGACCGAAGAAAAACTCTGGATCAAGCCCTGAAGCTCCAGGTAACTTAAAAGCATTTTTTGTGGTTCATTGAGAGTTTATGTTTTCAGGGAAATTTGCGAGGTATTATATAGAGCAAAACGAGATATTGACTTGTTGCAGATATTCCTGGGCTATGCTGACCAGACTGAGAGCTGGATGAGTAACAGGGAGGCTTTCTTGATCAATGAAGATCTAGGGGTAATAGCTTTAGATCTTGCACTTCATTTAACAAGCAATAATTCATGTTTTACCTGTTAAGAAATTCAAATGTCCCTCTACGCTGTTATGGCAGGGTTCATTGTCGGAGGTGGAGGCTCTACAGAGGAAGCTGGCTCTGTTTGAGAACTCTCTAGAAGCTCAGATGGAGCAGGTTTCAGAGGTTGACAGATACGCTCAGCAGCTCATACAGGCAAACCACTACGACTCTGACAACATCAAGAAGAGGACAAAAGCTATTCTGCTCAGGTGTGCGAGAAGCACAGAAAACACACTCACCATGTGAAGGAAGATTGACACTTAATGTGCTTTAATAGAAGTAGAACTGAACCTGATTAATTAAATGTATTGACCTTCAGATTTATATTAAATGCACAGTACTTTTTTGACTCACTTAAGTATAGCTTTATATACAGTATAATTGCATTACTTAAAAGCACATAATATATTAATATATTTAAATAAGCTATATACAAGCATGGTTTTGCTTTAAATGCTTGTTTATTGATTATTTAAATGTGTACTATATATTAACTTATGTTATTCCAGAGTTACATCTTGATCTGGTACATTACACATTTTTAACATATCAAATAGTATATAGTGATAAATTGAAAGGCACCTAAAGCTACATAGTGTTCAAATTCCAATATTCTGAAATGCATCATAAATAATCTGATGGGTGTTTTGAGCTGAGTCTTTAAAGACACATTCTGGAGACAAAAAAGGCTTATCTTAAATCTTGAAAAAAGGGGTAAAATAGGTGCCCTTTAACATTATGGTGCAGTTATTATTTAATAATTATTATTACAACGTGTTCTTTTATGTCATTAATATATAACGAAATAGCATATACATAACATTTGTCATGCGAATCTTTAGATCGATAATATTCTAAATTAATTTCTTAAAGGAAGGAAAGAATACTGGAAATCAGCAAATCCCGGCGAAAAGCTCTAGAAGAATCTCTTCAGTTGCAAAAGTTCCTGGAAGCAAGTTATGAGGTTTGTGAAAAAAATACAAAAACTTCTGCTGAATTTGTAAAATTATTCAAAATTGTACATCAGAAATTGAATTGTATTTTGTACAGATTTCCTCATGGCTGAATGAGAAGAACTCAGTGGCTGTTGACGAGAGTTGGAAAGATCCTATAAATCTGCAGGCTAAGCTACTGAAACACCAGAGCTTTGAAGCAGAGATTCTGGCCAACCGCAACAGAGTGCAGGCACACATTAAAGTATGGCAATGCCTGAATATATCATATTCTTTCTCTGTTTGCATGAACTTCACAATTAACAGAGCATTCACAGCATTCAGGCTAAACCAAGAAATGTTTCCTCAGGATGGTGATAACATGCTGGCTTTCAGTCATCCTGCTAAAAGCAAAATAAAACCACGAATAAAGGATGTCGATGACAACTGGGACCAGCTTTTAAGCAACTGCAAGCATAAGAAGACACGTCTACAGCAAGCGTATCAGGTTTCGCGAACTAAAATTCAAGCTTTTTCCTGATTCAATGTCTTTCTCTGACAATGAATCTTAGATACATCAACATGCATATCCTCATGACTTCCAGATTGACTGACCCTGGAACATCTTGGATTGTGTTTTGCTTTGCCTTTCCTCTGATTTTCTAGGCCTTACAGTTCCAGCGTTCATTAGGTGACATTGAGGAGTGGCTTGGGTCGGTGGAGGTGGAAGTGGCGAATGACGACTATGGAGGTGATCTGGCCTCTGTTAGCAGGCTGCTTAAGGCTCTACAGGGTCTGGAGGAAATGGTAGACGCGCACATGGAGAAAGTCCAGGGGCTAGTGGACACTGCCAAAGACTTCAGCTCTCAGGGCAACTTCCTCGCAGATAATATACAGCAGAGGGTTTGGGAGGTGGTCAACAGGTATGTTTTTTTTTTTTTTTTTTTTTTTTTAAGAGGTATTTGTGGAACTGAACAAAGTGGTCTTGTCCCAATACCAAAATTTCCAATTATTGCACTTGTATACTTACATGATGCCTTACATTTGGCTCAATTGTAAAAAGCATTTGCAAACTTTGCAACAAATCTTTTTTTTTTTTTTTTCGCCAGACCATATGTAATCCAATTTAATGTGTATACTGAAATGTTTGGATATACTAAGAAATAAATTACACTTCATTAAAGGAAAGTTCACTCAATATATATATATGAAAATATTACTTACCATTTACTCACCCTCACACTCAAACCTTATGGTTGTCTTTTTTCTGTTAAACACAAAATAAGATGTTCCAAAAAACATTGGAACCTGTCAACCTTTTACATTCATAGTAAGAAAAAATGGTTTCCAATATACTTGCTCTTCAGCAAAATGATTAGTCATTTTTAAAGGGAAATTTTATTGGGAAAAAAATATTAGACATTGTTTTTCTTGACAAAACCCTAGAAAAGCAAATTTGGGATGAGCAAATAATCAGGAAATTTTCATTTTTTTGGAGAACTATTCCTTTAGGATCACCAGGTTTAACATTTATGAAAGCTTGCATACTTATTTCCTGTTGCATTCTAAAGTAGGTAAGATAGTTGGACACTACCTGACAAAAGTCTTGTCGTCGATCTCTGTTGTAAGAGCAACAAATAATAATAAGTTGACTTATAGTTGATCTTTGAAACAGAAGGAAGGTTTTTCCAATTAATCTGTTAAACTGCATCCCAATCATCCCAAATATTACAGAAGACCTATTGGAACTCTCATTGACCCAAGATTCTCATAGAAATCAGTCAAGTTTGGTGAAGGAAAAATCATGGTTTGGGGTTACATTCAGTATGGGGGCGTGCGAGGGATCTCCAGAGTGGATGGCAACTTCAACAGCCTGAGGTATCAAGACATTTGTACTGCCCATTATATTACAAACCACAGGAGAAGGCAAATTCTTCAGCAGGATAGCGATCCTGCACATACTTCAGTCTCCATATCAAATCCCCCCCCCCCCAAAAAAAAACAAATAAGGTCAATGTATTCCAGGATTGGCTGGCCCAGTCAACAGACATGAACATTATTGAGGATGTCAGGGGTAAGATGAAGGAGAAGGCATTGAAAATAATTCCGAAGAATGTTGATGAACTCTGGGAGTCCTGCAAGAACACTTTGTTTGCCGTTCCAGATGACTTTATTAATCAGTTATTTGAGTCATTGCAGAGATGTATGAATGCAGGGGTCCAAGCTCATGGGAGTTATACACAATATTCATTCTTTCTCCACTGCACTTTATATTCTCTACTGTACATTACTTCTGTAAAGTGACTAGACTTTTGTTTAAGCAAAGTCAGACCTTACTGTCCTAAATAAAACAATTAAAACTCAAAACATGATCATCTTTTATTTTGGTAAAATAAGCATAATCTAAAAGCCTTTGCCTTTCATATTAGCCACTTCTGAAACCAAATATTCAACTAGAAGTCAATTTATTATTTGTTGTTCCTAAAACCTGGATAGGAGACAAGACTTTTGTCATGTAGTGTACATATATTGTTTAGGGCTAAACTAATAAATGAGAAAGGAGCAATACTCCTTAAGATTAAACATTGATGTCCCACAATGATCTAAAGCTCTACAACATAACACAATTGCTTGCATATCTCATCTCAACTTGCGGTCTCATCACAGATTTTGCTGTGTTAAATTTCATCTGAGTGGAGAACACTGACATTTAATCATTTCTGTCAGGTATAATGGCCTGGCTGAGCCGATGCAGACCCGCAGGGAGACTCTGGAGTCGTGGCAGCTGCTGTTCCAGTTCTACAGGGACTTAGAGGATGAGCTGCTGTGGATTGAGGACAAGCTGCAGGCCACGGCCACCAAAGACTGGGGCACCTCCCTACAGAGCATACAATCTATAGTCAAAAAACATCTGGTTAGTCTGCTGTAGAATCTATAACTGCAAGTTTAACTGCTTGACTAAACTATTTCTAATCTGCTCTGCTTTGATAAATGGATCTTTTTTCATTACGTGACATTTTTAGGTTGTGATGCAGGAAATTGAGAACCGAACTCCTCTAATAATGGCTGTACAGGAGGCAGGACAGAATTTGGTGCGAGGACGACACTTTGCATCACGTGAGATCAGTGAAAAACTTTCAGGGTTAAAGAAGAACTTTGACGCCCTGAAGAAGGAGTCAGCGAATAAAGATCGCCTGCTTCAACAAGCACTGAAAATCCAGAGCTTTCTCTCAGAGGTGTGTTATCAGTTCACACAGAACTACGATTTATGCATTAAACCATTATGCATTATCATTAAACCTAATGTCTCATGCTGCTCCATTGTGATGAACCAGGTTTCCCAGTTGGAGCAGTGGATGGAGGAACAGAAGCCTGTTTTAGAGTCCCGCGACTATGGAAAGAATGAGGAGGCCACTGAAGCTTTTCTCAGGAAGCTGGACACAGTTGACCTGGAGTTGGAAAGCCAGCGTGGAAAAGTAGAGGCTCTCCTGAAAACCGGCACAGATTTAGAGAAGTCTCAGCATCCCAACAGGTGAGTCGTGTTTGATTTAACTAATATTTTTTTGTATGAGGTCTGCAGAATAGTTCTCAATGGCAATATTATCAACATTATTATTTCATTTTTGTGTTAATGTTTGTTTCAAGAGTTCACAATTAGCTGATGATTGATTATAAAGCTTGTCTGGCATGCTGTCCCGTGAGAGAGCCCTGAGCTCCTTGAGCCCGGGGTGCCCTCCCATTTGCAAGGCGAGAGAGGAGTTAGAGCTTAGGTAGATCTCGAGAACTCCCCTCTAGCTGTAGTAGCTAATGAACAGATAGTGATTGCTCTTAAGAGATAACTACTTACTAAGAGCATGTCTATGGTGCCCATTTGGGTTAGTCAATTAACCTAATTTGCATGTTTTTGGACAATGGGAAGAAACCGGGGAACCCTGGTGAAAGCCACGATAGCACAGGGAAAACATGTAAACTCTGCACAGAAACATCAGCTGGCTTGGTAAGGACTAGAACCAGTCACGTTCTTGCTGTGAGGCAACAGTGCTAACCACTGGGCCACTGTGCCACCCATTTAGTAAAGGAGGAGGAGTAGGGTTGGAATAGGGGATTCTTCAAAACCAAGATGGCTGTTATATGGAACTTAGGGTATTTATAGTGGCTTAGGAATCATCTGATTGGTGAATCATAAATTGAATAATGCAGGACCAGCCGCAAGCAAGAAAAATGTGAGTCAACTCGACTTAGAGATATTCTTTGTTTTAACTGAAGTCGTTGAGTTTTAGTTATATATATATATATATATATATATATATAAATTAAACTCAACATCTTAAGTTGAAACAAAGAATCTCTTTCAGATGACTTTACTTTTATTTTTAAGGCAGCTGGTGAACTTGAATTTGTAAGTTTAACAAAGTGAAATGTTTTCAGTGTATAATTGCCATAACTGTTGATTCAGATCAGTTCAATGCACCCTTGCTGAATAAAACCCCCAAAGCATTAGAACTGTAGTTGAACGCCTCAAATAATTACCTTTTTTGACCTCTTAATATGTCTTCATAGCCATTTAGTGAGTAAGAGCCTTGAAGATATGCAGGGTGAGTTTGAGACACTACTGCAACTGTCTGGTGAACGTCGCACAGAGCTGGAGAATCAGTACAATTTCTACATATTTGAGAGAGATGCCAGAGACCTACAGACCTGGCTCCTTTCTCGGAAGACCATAGCAGAATCTGATGATTATGGAAAAGATCTGGAAGGAGTGGAAGTAAGTATTACTCAAAAACATTCTGTCAAGAAAGCAAAAACACAGAATAGAGATTTAAGATATATTTACGTATGTGTTCCTTTTTTAACTTTTGTTAATTAGAAATTAATTTGAATTAGAAAATTATGTGTGTTGCCAAATTATACATTTTGTCACTATATTTAGTGACTTTTGAGACTTTAAAGGGAATATGAAAATCTTGAGGATGGGGCTATAACATATATCAGCACAAACAATAATCAATCTGAAACAAATGCAAGAAAACCTAAATATGTGATCAATAAACTAATTAACATCTGGCATTATCTAGTAATGTAGTTTTAAGCAGGCTTTAGCTATTTTCCATTGAAAGAAGTTGGAAACAGCGTTTGTAACTGCAATAATCATTTCAGCCCATTTTTAAAAAAACTCCCTTGCTCTTATTAGGCACTGCAAAAGAAGTTTGAGGATTTTTCAGAAGAGGTTGGGACTCTGGGCCAGAGTAAGCTGAGCACTGTTCAAAAGCTAAAGCAAAGTGTGCAGTCAGCAGATGCACAACAAAAAGAGAAAGATCTACTCAAGCTCTGGGAGGATTTAAACAAGGCTATGAAAGCAAGAGCAGAGGTAACACTAAAAATAAACAACATTTTTCAAGAATGAAACTCCAATAGGTTTTTACCCTAATCGAGGATGAGTAAATTATGACAATTTTCAAATTTGAATGAACTATCCCAGCAAAGATTTCTTATGGTGATAAGAGAATGTTTTTGACAGAACCTGCATTCAGCTCGAGAAGTTCACCAGTTTGAACATGACCTGGATGAGCTTCGGATCTGGATGAATGAGAAGGAAGTTGCTCTGGACTCTGAGGAGCTGAAGAATGACCTGCTTAGTGTCCAAGCTCTCATCCGTCAACATGAAGGACTGGAGGTACACAATATTCAGAAACACTGTATTTGTTACATCAGTCTCCACAGATCTGATTTATAACAATCTAACAGAAACTTTATTGAGTTTTGTTTGACCAGCGATACCCTGTCATGTTTTTTTTTTTGTTTTGTTTTTTTTACTAAAGATGATTTAATGCTTGTCGGTTGTTCTTAAAATTATACAACTGTTTGATTCATCAGAGAGACCTTGCAGTGATAGAAGAAGATGTGTCTCGTCGAAAAGAGGAGGGAAAAGCTTTGGTCCGCAGGTCACCTCGAGTAAGGGACAGTTTGAGCAAGAGACTCCAGGAAGTGGAGGAGATCTGGAGAAACCTGCTGGAGAAAGCCAACCAGCGCAGACAAAGACTCCAACAGGCAGAGGCCGTTCAAAGATATCTGATTGAATGGAGAGAGATGATGTATGCAGAGTTTTTATTAAGGTTTTTAAGTGGTTTTCTGCCGTTTTGCATTGACGTTGTTGATTCTGTCTCAGGGGCTGGCTGAAAGAGACACTGTCTCTGATGACAGGGGAGGGATTCGGAGGCAAGGTTAAAGACCTGGAACAGATGATTAAAAAACATGATGAGTACCGCACACAGATTGACAGACAACTGGACAAATCGGAAATGGTTAAAAATGATGGGAGACGTCTGATGGAGGAGGGGAACTCATGGAGTCATGAGGTATGACACTTGTGTCTAAATACAGGGATACTCTACATGAGTTTGTCACAGGTTTGGGGGCTGATTGAATGTTACATGGTAATTGGGGGATCAGAATTTGACAGATGTTAGCTAAAACTGTTACATCCGATTTTGCAAACAAAAACTTTTACAAGTGTTTTATGAACTGAAATTAGTTTTTAAAAGAAAAACTAGAGAGAAGGTAACAAAACTGAAATGAAACAAAAGTTGCCATATTTCCCCTTAATATAATGTACAGTATATGATGAAACAACTTCTCAGATAAAAAAAAAAAAAACAATGTAGTGCTGCACTTGATATTTTGTTGCTGAATTGTTGTGGTTTGTTATTGGTGTGATCTCAATGACCAAGACATGCCATTGGAGAAGGAGAGGAAGTTATATTTATTAAAGATAACATGCGCACACATGCCCAGATATATAATAAAAATGCATTGAATTTGTGGTGTTTTTTAGATAAAAAGTTAGTGTGGATTGCTTTATGTTGGATGAGCTTCAGAGCAAGCAATTAAAGAACAAATGGTAGTGTAGGTTACTGTAATACTATTTATGGGACCTTTTATGGGAAAGAAGGAAGGATGGATGGATGGAAGGAAGGAAATTAATAAATAAAAAAATTGCACTTAGTTATGGTTATATATGCACGTTGGTTAAAGTAGATGGAAATAAGCATGTAAACAGTATCTGAAATGACCGTATGCATGTCTGTGCAGCTTGAGGAGCGTCTAGCCGAGCTCAAGGATCTGGAGGTGCGGGTGCTGGAGGCCTGGACTGAAAGGAGAGCTCAGTATCAGGAAGACATAGAGCTCCAGCAACTGCAGAGGGAACTGGAGCAGGCCGAGCACTGGCTCAACACTTATGAGAGCGCGCTCAGAGCAGAGGACTATGGGGTAAAGGAATTTTCAGAACTGTGAAAATTTATTTATACATACAGTTGAAGTCAGAATTATTAGCCCCCTAACACACACAAAAAAAAAAAAAAAAAAAAATATATATATATATATATATATATATATATATATATATATATATATATATATATTTTTTTTTTTTTTTTTTTTTTTTTTTTTCTCAAATGATGTTTAACAGAGCAAGGAAATTTTCACAGTATGTCTGATAATATTTTTTTTTTATTCTGGAGAAAGTCTTATTTGTTTTATTTCGGCTAGAATAAAAAGAGTTTAAAAAATGTTTTAAGGTCAAAATTATTAGCCCCTTTAAGCTATATTTTTTTCCGATAGTCTACTGAACAAACCATTGTTATACAATAACTTGCCTAATTACCCTAACCTGCCTTTTTAACCTAATTAACCTAGTTAAGCCTTTATATGTCACTTTAAGCTGTATAGAAGTGTTCTAAAAATATATAGTAAAATATTATTTACTGTCATCATGGCAAAGATAAAATAAATCAGTTATTAGAGAAGAGTTATTAAAACTATTATATTTAGAAAAGTGTTGAAAAATCTGCTCTCCATGGCTTAATATGGAGACATTTGAGATGAAAGAGGACAGTCCCACTAATATACTATATGCATGGGATGAAAAATTGATAAAAACTAGAACCAATAACCCTATGATTATCCACTCAGTACAGATCTGGAACAAACTTTAGTTGATGTTGGGACAAGAGGCATTTCTCTCTCCCAAAACACCTTTATGGGGGAACAGATTGCTTCCAATGTGCTTTAAAAACAACAATTTTAAAATTTGGGCAGATAAAGGAATTACAGATCTAGAGCATTGTTTTGATGATGGTGTTTTAATGTCATTTGAACAATTAAAAAATAAATATAACATGACCAATAAAGAATTCTTTAGTTATTTGCAATTAAGGGATTGCTTAAGGGTCAAATTAAAAAATTATCCCAAGATACCCAATTTAACTGCTATGGAGGAACTTGTTTTTTCTGATAAACCATTACATAAAACAATTTCCAGAATATATGATGCTTTGATGCTTAGACAACATTTGACTGACCCAAATAAGTCTAAAACTAGATGGGAACAGGATTTGGGGATAACACTAGAAAATGACCTGTGGGGTCAGCTATGTAGAGATGGGGTAACCTCAACTTTAAATTCCAGATTTAGACTAATCCAGTTTAATTTCTTACACCAGCTTTATTATACTCCATCCAGGTTACACAAATTTAAAAACAGTATTTCTCCCCTCTGCTTCAGATGTGGTATAGAAGAAGGTACATTTTTGCATTTTACATGGCTGTGCCCTAAAGTGAAAGTGTTGTGGGTACAAGTATGTAATATTATATCACAGATTCATGGAATTGATTTTCCATTGGATCCAGAGATATGTTTATTGGGTAATTACACAAATTCTAACCTCCAGCATAATAATGCTAATAAACTTACCGAAATGTTGCTGACAATAGCTAAAAAATGCATTGCTTTAAAATGGAAAACAGACATTGATGTACCAATTGGACTGTGGATCTCAGAAGTTTGAAACTGTATACCATTGGAGAAGATCACATATTCTTTGAGAGGAAAGAATGAAGTATTTAAAAAGATTTGGAATCCATTTTTGAACTACATTTTAACAGTACCACTTGATTTGATTTGACAAAATGTTTTTGTTTCTACTGGCTTATACTGTATCTCCTCCTTTTTTATTTATTTATTTAATTAAATTTTACTTGTTTATTTTATATATTGTGTGTGTTTTAATTTAGTTTGTTTGCTGTTTGTTTTGATGTTCTGTATTGTTAATTCTTGAAAAAGCGAAATAAAAATATATAATAAAAAAAGAAAAATCTGCTCTCCGTTAAACAGAAAATGGGGAAAAAATACACAGGGGGCTAATAATTCAGGTGGGGCTAATAATTCTGACTTCAACTGTATAGCATAATGCTGTTTCATGAAATATAATCAAATGAAATCTGTGAACAGGAATCAGTTTCAGATGTTCTGGATTTGATGAAAAAGCAGGAAGATCTGGAGGCCATGATTCAAGCACAGAGTGAGAGATTCAATGCCCTTCAAGCCAGAAGAACACAGGTAACTTAAGACTGACAGATTATACTGGGTTCAGACTGCATAAAATGACAATGGGTATTGGGCATAAGAATTGATTTTTAATCTCAATTAGTATGTCATAGTGAAGAGCATAGTGGACAGAATCGAACAGAAGAACTAATATCTTTAGTGTTTTTGGTCTCCGACTGGTTCCATCAGATCTGCAACACTAAACACAGTAGTAGCACAGAAGCTCATCCATTCAGCACTTCCAGACATAGCAATATGAAAGAGACACTTTCCCAAATTGCATTAAAACCTTTAGTAAAATAAAATAAAAAGTTTCTACAAATTTTAAATAAACAGCTAATTACATTCAAAAGCAGTTCCCTTTTTTTTAGCCCTTCTAACATCCACATTTACCAGTTTTGACTCACTCGTTTTGATTTCTCTGCTCTTTCTTTGCTCTCCCAGAGGGAAAATAAGATGAAAGAAATTCAAAGAGGTGACAGTACAGACAGCAGCAGGGACAAGCCTGTTCGTGTAACATCCCTAAAGCGAAAGCCATCTGAGCGGCCAGCATTGCCCCCTCGTCCCTTGTTGACCAGTCCAGTCCTAAAGAACAGCGATTCACCCACACCTTCCCGAGTCCCTACCCCCAGGTCTGCCTTGTGGGAAAGCAGAAGTGATAAAACTGATTCTCCTGTGGTGTCACGAGTGGCAGCAGGACTCAGAAGAAAGAGCAGCAGTGACAGTGATAGTGTAACATCACCTGACAAACCATCCACTTCTGGTCAGGATAGCCCTGACTCCTCCTCCACTGCGGTTTACAGACCTCATTATCCACACAATGCTTCTAAGGTTAAACATACCACATCTTCACAAGATGAAGTCGATACTCTAAGAGAGACTGAATCCTTTTTGAAAACCATTGATAAACCAAAAATCACTCCTAGGCGTCAGAAACCATCAACTCCTGATAAAGAGTTGTGGGGTCCTCCTACATCCAAACCACCTGAGCCACCCATTAAACCTTCACAATCATTGTCCAGATCTCCTCAGTCACTGTCCAGATCTCCTGAACCACTGTCCAGATCTCCAGAGCCATTGCCTAGATCTCCTGAGCCACTGTCCAGATCTTCCCAGTCACAGCCCAGATCTCCTGAACCACTATCCAAATCGCCTGAACCACTATCCAGATCTCCTGAGGCACTGTCCAGATCTCCCGAGCCACTGCCCAGATCTCCTCAGTCACTGTCTAGATCTCCTGAGCCACTGTCCAGATCTCCTGAGTCACCGTATATTCCTCCACTCACAAAACCTCCATCCACAAACCCTCCTGATCCACCATCCAAGGCCACAGAATTGGTGGACAACCAAGACTCAAAAGATAGGAACCTTCCTCAATCCACTCCACCATCAGTCCCTCAGTCATCACCTCAATCTTTCGTTTCCAACCCAGAACCACAAGCGTCCTCTTCTGTGCAATCCTCAATAGTCTTTCCAGCTGCTTCCACCATGGTAAACACATTTTTATGCTTTTCTGTTGACGTTTCCACCTTTTTTGGTCTACAATTTGTCTACTTTTCTAGATCAGAGCAGAAGATGCCAAAATGGAGGGTACGTTGGAGATTAAACTGAAGCAAGGAGGAAATACAGTAAGCTTTCCAACCAATAGCAATGGTGATATTGATTAAAAAGCTCTCTCCTTGACATCCTTAGCTCCAGTTCTTTGTTTATAGTGTGGTTTTGTTTCTGTGAGAGCACTTAATGGTTGAGCATTGATCTGTTGGTTTGGATCAGGGCTTGGATCACTGGGAAACGGTCTATGCACTACTGGAAGAGGAGACACTCAATCTGTTTAAAGACCAAGATGCCGCCACTGAGGTATCTGGCTTTACACACACAACATTGTCACACACACATTTGCTAGTTTGAAAGAGGGACTCGGTTAGTGTTGTGTTTACCCTACATTTGTGAATCCAACACATGTTGACGACAACAATTAGGAGCTATAATATTGTTTTGAGTGTGGTGGATTTTGTGGACTTTAATTATTTTTGTCATACAGAACTGTACACGCTGGCCACCGATCAATTTGGCTGGAGCTATTTGTAAAGACAACCCTTTTTACAGGAGAAAGGAGCACACGTTCAAACTCATGTGAGTTATGATTCATGCCAACTGCTGTTGAAGGAACATCTGCTCACATCTCAGGTGAAAAACTAATGTAATCTGTTTTCATTGGGCTTTCTGGTTTAGGCTGAGTGATGGCAGTCACTATCTGTTTGCTGCATCATCTCAAGGAGAACAGCAGAAGTGGCTGAAGGAGCTCCAGGAATGTATTAATCCAACTGTGTCTTCAGACAATCCTGGGTAACATCATATAAACAACACTGATTGCTTTTATATACAGAACTGAACCTCTTCTGTGATGTGATGTTTTTCATTTCTCAGTTCAAATCCATTGGTATTCATGGTGAGCATAAAGACAAAGAATATAGCATAATAAAACAGTCCTTGTGTTATATATTAAGAAAAGGCCTCAATAAAACAATGCATTTCATTTTGATATTATCATATGACACAACCTCCTCTTTTTCACCAAGGCTGCATTTATTTAGTCACAATTTTATTATTATTTTGAAATCATTAATTTATTTGAAATAAATAAATATATATTAGCACTGTCACCTCACAGCAAGAAGGTCGCTGGTTCGAGTCTCGGCTGGACCAATTGGCATTTCTGTGTGGAGTTTGTATGTTCTCCCTGTTTTCGAGTGGGTTTGCTCCGGGTGCTCTGGTATCCACCACAGTCACAAGACATACGTTATAAGTGAATTGGATAAACTAAATTGGCTGTAGTGTTGACCAGTACTGGGTTGTAGCTTAAAGGCCATGCACTATATAAAACATATGCCGGAGTAGTTGGTGGTTCATTCCGCTGTGTCGACCCTTGATAAATAAGGAACTAAACAGATGGAAAATGAAAGAATAAATGAAAAAATCTAATATTTATAAATGTGTTAGTGTCATACTTGATCAATTTAATGCATACTTGCTGAACAGAAGTATTAATTAAAAGGTTCTAACCACAAACCTAAGCTTGAACAAGTTGAAAAAAATATATTTTCCAAGTTAAATAAATTTTTTGTAATTACTAGCATGTCTGCAAGTTGTACATACTACAAACCAGTATGTATTTAAGCTGCAAGAAAAATTAATACATTTTTACTAGTTGACTAGACATTAAAGTCATGAAACTGAAACGTTCTTGTTTTTATGTTTTATGTGTTAAACCCAGTTGAAACCAACATAAATATAATAAATGCATTTCTAAAGCATGAATGCATAAAGATATGACAATGATTTGTTCGGTTTATAGAAAATTTTGACAATGTTATTCGGTAAATACAGTTCTCAGCATAATTGAGTACAGCCCATTTTGTAAATTAATATTTTTATCCATTACTCATTGAATATAGACAATGCATTTTAGTGCATTAAACAAAACAGATTTATTTTTAAACATATTTATTCAAACAATATTTCTCACTAAACATATTTAGAAATTGAAAGATAATACAATTAAATTCAAGCAAAATATTGCAGAAAAAAATTACAACCTACAAAATTTCAACTACATTTTTTTGCTTCTCTTGATTTTTTCTCTTTTTTAATTTTGTATTTAATATTTTTCTTTAACATATACATTGGTTGTACTTGTTTTGGACCATTATCATAAGTCATTTTGTTAGATAAGCTCCAGATTTGGCTTCATTACTGATTAATCTAATGTACATGCACAAATATAATATTGTAAAGCTTCCTAATAAAAACATGAATTTAAAAGATAGATCTGTGAGCAGATATTTGCTGAGCACAAATATTTTATACACCATAAAACCTAGTCATGCATATTTAGACTAAGATATTACAGCAAATTGTCATATTTTGAAAAAGATTCACAGTGCAGACCCAAAATTCAAAATAATTGTTAATTGAAATCTTTATACTTTGTCACAATGCTTTAAAACACTATAGCTTTTACCCTCGTTTTTTTTTTTTAAATACAATAAATATGCCATTTGGTTTGATAACATATTTTAATAAGTAGAAGTCAGAATAAGCATTTTTTTAAATACATATATCAGAATGACAACGAAACTTCATTCCACCCATATTTCATCATTTTAATTACACAAACAGACACTTTACTTGCACTTGATAAACTTACCTCTAAAATTATTTCATTTTAAATTGATGCGGACACCAAAAAGGGACTTTGAATCCACTTTGAATCGTCTCTGACCCACAAATCAGCTCCTGAAAGATTCTGATTATTAGACAACAATGTTTTCTCACATGCTCCTGTGATTGTCATGTTTGTCCCCACACAGAATGAAGAGAGAATCAAGCAGTGAAAGCGTAGAGAAGAGCGAGTCTGTGCCAGTCGACACATCTGACACACAAGACCAGGAGAAGGGTGAGAGAACAAACAGAGCCTGAGCACTTCTGTGCCTTAATGTGTGCCAACGTGCCTATGTATGTGTGTGCGCTTCTGCTTAACACTTACTGAGGATTCATATTAACAGAAGACTCCACCGAGAGCTGTGAGACAGAGAGAGAACCACCACCAAAACCTCCACACACGTACTACAACAAACACAAATACCCTGACGGAGGAGAGAGCCAAGACTCAGGTGAGATTATCCCACAGCAACGTGTCACTGGAAATCAAATTACTGAAGGGAAATTAGTTTCTACTTTAAGAGCTTGGACTGTTTTGTGCATTTTTTAAAATTTGGTTTGTTTGTCATGTTTGATTTGGAATAAATTATAATAATAAACTCCTTTTTTTCCTCTTTAGTGAGTGTGTCTCAAAATATAAAAGGGCTACAGCCTCCCACATTCGCTCCTCCTCCTCCTCCAACACAAAACCAGACAGAGAATGAAGCCAAGGCCAAAAACAGGAGCGGATTTATGAAGTTTTTCAGAAAATAATTTTTACGTAGCGGCAGATTTGGCCTTAATATTGGGTTCCTATTTATATTTGAATCAAATGTTTTATGTGGTTGTTATTATGTGATGCAATCAGTATTCTCTAAAATTAATAATGTTTTAATCAAATTATTTAAAAAATTTTTGGGTGATTTTGGACTTCAAATGACTCGTAAATTATGATTAAATATTTGTGCAGAGAATTTGATGATTTACAGCAAATGAGGATTTTACAAATCTTGCTAAAGTGTTGGAAAATTATTATGAATATTTTGGTATTTAAATAAAAATCATATGCTTACCTCTGACTGTACTTTATAAATGTTTACTGTGTGACAGTTCATCAAAAGCAAAAAAATAAAACGGGGTCAAAGTTTTATGATTTATTGCCTTTTTGGGAAATTTTTAATATTAGCTGCAATCATCGTCGAAAGTTGCATAAATGTATTTTGAAAAATGGCTAATTGTGTTAGAAACAAAAAAATATATATTAATTACATTAATTTTGGACAAAAAATGCCAAGAGGCTAATTAATCAACAACTTCTGAAAAGACTAAATTATTAATAATTACATACAATTCACCTCCCAGCTTTTAGGTCTTTGCCCAAAATGACTAAATGATGCCACCACATGATGGCGCTACAGACTTTGATAAATGATTGTTAATTTTTCACCTCATAAAACGACCAGTACATTCTGTTCGTGTTTAAAATGAATTAGATTAAAACATAGCGATAAAAATACACATCTAAACATATTTAATAATTATAAAAAAAAATTATGAGAAATCCTTAATCCGTGTGTGTTATATCCTTAGTCTTGGGTAAAGCTACTTTTAAAAGTAAGAGATAACAATCTTAGAGTCACTTTTAAACAAAGTAACTAAGTGTGTTACTTAGTTACCTTTTAGGGAAAGCAAAGCGAAAGTGTGTATACTATGTGTGTGTGTGTGTGTGTGTGTGTGTGTGTGTGTGTGTGTGTGTGTGTGTGTGATTCTAATATATTACTTTTTAAGTAACTTTACCCAACCCTGTTTAGATTTCCCATGATCTGCAGGTTATAATGCCTGAATTGCTCAAAAATATCCCATTACCAGTCAAAAGTTTGGGGTCAGTTCTTGTCTTTTTTTTTAAAGAAATTATTCTGTTGTTCATATAGTGGCATTTACTAAATGTAAAAGAAAATTGTTAAATATTTGTTAAAATTTTATATAACTGCTTTCTTATTGTATGTAGTTTCAAATTACATTATTACTCCAGTCATTGTTGCTTTTATTACTATTACCATTAATAATAATCATATTTATAATGATGATAATAATAATAATCATAATAAGTAATATTATTATTAGTGATTTCTAAAGAATCATATGACTCTAATGACTGGAGTAATGAAGCTAAAAATTCATCTTTAAAATCACTGGAATAAATGATTAAATTAAACGATAAACTACTGTTGAACAGTTATTTTATAGTGCAATAACATTTCACAATTTTACGATTTGCACTGTATTTTTGAATAAATAAATACAGCATTAGTGAGCAGGAGAAGCTTATTTTAAAACATTTAAAAATCCTACTGACCCCAAACTTTAAATGGGTAGTGCACATACAAAATGATAAAAGTTACCCACGACTGAATTATTTTTGTTCGTAAAAACTTTGAGAACTTCATTTGGTTTTTGTCTTTGGTTTGTTTACAATGATATAAACATATAACAAATAAACAAACATGTTTAAAATGCATATCCTATATTTTTACATTAAAAGGCATAATCATATCACCATAAGTGGCTGCATCCTATAAACATACAGTCTTCACAGCCAGCACAAAAAAAATGCATTTACATTTTGTTTTATTTTAACCTTTTTAAAAATATGATTGATTTCATTATTTTATGGTGTGCAAACAGTATTACTACCTTATCATGAATTTCATCATAAGTCTTGTTAAATATACCAAATTTTGAACAAATTCAATAATTCTAAATTATATGAAAAGGATATGAAAAGCAGTCTTTCAATCTAAGTTATCTGGCCTGTAAAATGTAGGCATTTATTTAGCCTATTGTTAATTTTATTAAACATTTATTTTGTTATAATTATTTTTTGCATATGTTTTGTCATTTCAACCCTACTTATATCTGAAATACCCCAACTAAAACTAGTGCTGTAATGAAAAAATACATCTGTTGAATGAAGTTGAAGCACAAAAGATTGTTTCGCCACTAGAGGGCAGCCTAATAAAGACACAAACTGCAGTTTAGAAAAGACAGGTCTGACTTTGTCCAGGATCACCTCCCTGTTTATCGCTTCTCTTTTCAACACAGGCCTGTGTTTGTTGAGGTAAGTGACAACTGTGTTTATTTAAGCGACATGTTCATGAACATTTCAGTCATTCCGAAGAAGTGCCTACATTTCTGCTGAAAACAACTTCATCAGACAACTATCCACCAACAACCAATAAGTAATCCTGTTTTTTGTTTTTGTTTTTAAGCGATAGTATAGCTTATAGAAATGTGTTCTTGGATATTATTTACCTATACAAATTTCAATAAACATTTGTATCTGTATATCCAGCTTTGATGTACACCATTAGCATTTATATTACTTTGCTCCATGCACATCGATACGCATTCATTTTGATTTAATGAAAATAAAATACTGAAGCAAATAAATGAATAAATTGATTATAGAAATATACTCTCATTTATTCAGTTTGGTATTCGTTAACACAGGACGTGTACATAGTCCTTATAAGCTATAATGAATGAATTCTATAAATCTACCGATCTCTCTTTTGACAATCAGACTATACATCAAATTTAATATTGTCCCAAGTTTGTTCCGTTAATCAGATGATATTAATCTCAGGCTTGTCTGTACCTGTTGATAACGGCAGTCTTTTGTTTGATATGGGCTATAAAAGATAATTTTTGCAATAGCAAAATATTTTGTGCTGCCAATACGGGTTAAAAGGAAAATGTGTAACCAACTTTAGCCAAATAAGGGACGTTTAAGTATCTGCTTTAAATCATTTTGATCTTGTCGGAATTTTATTTATTTAATTATTATTATTATTTTTTTGCGTGAACCTTTTTTTGCACCTTTGCTCCACTTCTGGTCTCAGTCAGACAAGGGCGAGGAGACATTAACATGTTGTTCGCTGGAGGTGGAATATACGAGCACGTGTCATTTATACAAACAACCTATCTATAAAAATCACAATCATACATGCTTAAATTGTTATTTTCCTTCGACTTGGAAGGTGCAATGCCTTTATAAAAAAAACCATTAAAAGCAACATGTGGGCTGTGCGTTAAAGAAAAAAGGTCTTAAATGCAAGTCATAATAACATATAAATGTTTATAGCCGGATTTGCAACCGATGCGATGTTTGTATGTTTTTGTTGTATGGGGTTGGATATGCTAGGTTGTGCAATGGTGTGTTTAACACAACAGCAATTTATCAACATTTTCCTTAAAATTGTAGGTCGCCAAATAATCAGCAAATATTTTCTCAGCTTTTTATTGTTGTTGTTTTTTATCTTGAGTTAAAATAATGGATGTGGATTCATGCATCTGGTATATTTAAAAAAAAAAAATAATAAAATAAAACAAGCACAACATAACAATATTTTTTTAAAACAGTGAGTATCGTTTTATTATGCATACAGTAGTTTAAAAATATAAGCTTAACCTTATATGATAATACATATTTCAATAAAGGCCTGAGTCTTTGCTGGTTTATTCTCTAAATTCCACCTTGTGGGAATCCGTTTGTTTGTTTGTTTGCGTGTTTCTGTGTGTACGACTTGTTTGCACATGTGAATGCGTGTGTGCCGTGCGTGTGTCTGTTGTTCAGTCAACCCCCCTGCAAGGTCCCCAGCACAAATACACACATATCATCCCTTCCATTAGAAAAACTTCAACCCGAAATATACAGCAATTAATTGTTGTCGCTATCCATGAATTTTTGAGTCAGTTTTGATATTATTCTATTTTTAAAATAAAGAAATGACTGTAAGTATATTCTTATATTGCTGGAAATAAAATATTAGGCGTCTTAACTTGTGCTTTACATGTGGTAGGCTATTGTGTATCTATTTTGTTTCAACAAAGGACATTCTCCATCATAAAGGCTACAAATAGCCTATATCATTTCCACTAAGGAGAGAAGTTGCAATTCTGATGAACTGTTATTGGTTATTATCTGTGTGTGAATAAAATATTGTAAAATAGCAACCAATAATCACAACCAGAAATAAATTATTATACTTGCATTACTATTACTATTATAGTAGGCTAGTTATTATTATTATTATTATTATTATCAGCATATTATCATTTATCTTCTTTAATGTTTTCAAGTGACTATATTATTGTTATTCGTAGAAAAAAATATAAATCGAGGTTGAATTTGTTCTTATCTTGCAAAATGTCTTGTAATAGTTGCTGTCGATGGTGGTTCTTGCGTGATTAATAAAATGCGCTACATAGGAATAAAAATACCTATTACCTTAATATGTGGATAAACATAACATTTATAATCAGAATCGTATATATAAACGTGCGAATGAGCGCTAAGAATATGCACGGACATAACTCCCTGTGTAAAAAAAAAATCCTTAAAATATGATAGATACACGAGATCGAATACATTTATAAACGCGTTTAAATAGCCATCCGCTGTCTGAAAGGATCTACAATTCATGCAAAAGCTACAAATCTTTCCATACCGCCGCTGTTTAGAGGCTATTATTTACTCTGGTTATACGTGTATAGCTCTAGATATATTAAAAGGCATACATTTCCGATACAGGAAGTAGTACCTGTTTTTTGTGGCTACCTTAGAGTCCCTTTTGTTTTTCCCCCTGCGGTATGAAAACAAATTGAGGACGCATGGATATGTTGAAACAGCACTCTACAATTATCAAAAAAAATTGATTGAGGTTATGTGGTCTGTTTTCTTGGTAGGAGTTTGCTGGGGGAAATGAAAGCCATTGTTGACTGGGCATGAGCATTGGTGGATCTTGTGTATCCTTACGCACTGGAACAGGCGCTAAGAACTGCTCAATGATTGGCTGCACGGTTAATACTTATGCTGCTGTGGTTGGCTGCAGTCTCTAAAAAGGTTCAAGCAATTTTTTTACAGCTTAGTGTCTGTGGCTCCGTAATTAATTGTAGCTAGCTGTCTCATATCGACGTGTTTTTAAGGAACATGAAATAGTTGTTGCGTGTGTTTTTTTTTAATTAGAGGAGTTGCCAGAGCAAGAGATTCGAAGTCCAACTGCTGCTGCTGGTGGTTGTTGCTACTCTATCTTACTTGTGATGTTGGATATGGGAGAAAGAAAAGAAGTCAAAATGATTCCTAAATCATCGTTCAGTATAAACAGTCTGGTTCCCGAAGCCGTGCAAAGCGACAACCACCATCACCACCACCACCAGCAACAACAACACCACCACAGAACGGTGCACGAAGAAGAAGAGAAGACTCCTTTACCTGCCCAAGTACAGGAGCAAAAGTCGGAGAACACTTGCGCTAAAAGTGACAATTCATCCCACGACTCCTCGTGCACAGACGAAAAGGAGAAGCAGGAAGAAAAACGGGACGCGAAAGAGGGCGAAGGAGGCAAAGAAGGCGACAAGAAAAACGGCAAGTACGAGAAACCACCTTTTAGCTACAACGCTTTGATTATGATGGCCATTCGGCAGAGTCCGGAGAAGCGATTAACCCTTAACGGCATTTACGAGTTCATTATGAAAAATTTTCCGTATTACCGGGAGAACAAGCAGGGATGGCAGAATTCCATCAGACACAACTTGAGTTTGAACAAATGTTTTGTCAAAGTGCCCCGACATTACGATGACCCCGGGAAGGGGAACTACTGGATGCTTGACCCCTCCAGCGACGACGTGTTCATCGGTGGCACGACGGGCAAACTTCGGCGGAGGTCGACCACTTCTAGGGCAAAGCTGGCGTTTAAAAGAGGCGCGAGGCTTACTTCCACCGGACTGACTTTTATGGATAGAGCTGGCTCTTTATATTGGCCGATGTCGCCGTTCCTCTCGCTTCACCATCCGAGGGCGAGCAGCGCGTTGAGTTACAACGGCGCGTCGTCGGCTTACCCTAGTCACCCAATGTCCTATAGCACAATGTTGACTCAAAACAGTTTGGGGAACAATCACTCTTTCCCGGCCTCAAATGGCTTGAGTGTTGACAGACTCGTAAATGGAGAGATTCCGTACGCCACACACCACCTCACAGCGGCTGCTTTGGCCGCCTCAGTGCCATGTGGGCTCTCCGTACCCTGCTCCGGGACGTACTCTTTGAATCCGTGTTCGGTGAACCTGCTTGCGGGTCAGACCAGTTATTTCTTCCCCCATGTCCCTCACCCATCCATGACCTCCCAGAGCAGCACGTCCATGAGCTCCCGAGCCGCCTCTTCCTCCTCCCCGCAAACGGCCTCTTCTCTCCCGTGTGACTCCTTAAGGCCTTCCCTATCCAGTTTTTCCTCCGGACTTTCCAGTGGACTTTCTGACTACTTCACACATCAGAATCAAGGGTCAACATCAAATCCACTTATACACTAACTAGCATCCACAGGATCAGACTGTAAGTGAACATTTTACACCAATTTACACTGTAATATATATAAATGAAAAAAAAATTAAGGAGAATGAACGGACAATGCAAGCCGAATTCCAGGTATTTTGTATTATTATTATTAATATTATTATTATTCTGCATTTATTTCTGATTGTATACAAACGTCAAGTGTCGCGGAACTGTTTTATTATTCCACTGTCAGCAACGTGCAATGTGACCAGAGTAAAAAAAGGATGAAGCATAGTTTTTTTTCTTTTCTTTTATTGAAAGGCAGTATGATTACTTTAGAATGTTTATTTAAATAGCAGTTGCAGTTCTGTCTAAGTTTAAATGTTAAAATATCTAATACTACATTGCAGAACAACCTCCAGTCATCATGTTTGCAGTATTATGACGTATCATGAGCACACTGGTGGGATGAGATTTTTCAGAAATTAACACAAAGTTTTATTTTCATTTTTTAAATAAATATGTTCTATAAGTGCACAATGCCCGTTCAAATCCGTGGCTCCTTGTTGTTTTTTTCTTTTAATAATAATAATAATAAAGACTGAGTAATGCATTTTCAGTGCATTTTATACATATATTAACAATACAGTTTCTTTGTAGGCCAAAGAATGGGTATCCAGCAACAAAATATAGTTTTTTTCAGTATTCATAACTTTACATACAGTTCTGAAGGGGACAGACGTAATGAATGCTTTTAGATTGTGTTTGCATATTTACTGTATGTGGTCACCACCATGCAGGTCACATTCTTTTTGTAATTAGTGAAATGTCAATACCTGTTGTAATTATAGGTTAACTTTGCGAACGTGTAACCCGTGTTGAGTAAATGCCTCATAAAATATTGAGTGATTGTTTATGTCGTCTTTAAATTCCATGGTTGTGATTTTGTGGTCTTCTGCCCGTGTTTGTCGCTTAAACTGTTAACCGAACAAAATAAACAAAGTAGGCTAAGTACATTTATTACGAACATTTTGTCTTTTTTGAAGAACTAGAATTTAGCTGTCTGGCAATATCTGATTAGCATAGTGTGTTTACTAAAACATTTAAGCGACAGTTTGCGGGTATTTTTGAAGGCCATGGCCTGCAATGTGTTACAAACATTAACTTACATATTTATTTCAGAAAAAGGGGAAAACACATGACACACACAAAATAAATTATTTGCTCCTTGCTTTTTCACCGATAAGCTAAAAAAGCAAACAAAGGAAAGTGGATTTAATATTAATATCCTTATCATAGGTCTTACAAACCGACCTGAAAAATGTGGCTCAGAATCGAATTGATCAATTTGCCTTTTTTACTTTTTGCTGTTTTGTTCTGAATTATATATATATATATATATATATATATATATATATATATATATATATATATATATATATATATATATATATATATTCTGAAACATTTAACTGTTGCTTATTACACATTTATTAACTCTCCTGATTGTAGAGACCATACAGAGAAATGCATAACGCCTGATCACTATCTGCTCTTATTTTTCGGCCAATAATAGAATCATTAGTTGCAGTAGTACAAAAAAGCTTATCTTTCAACACGTGAATTCCAGTAATTTGTTCATGATTTTAAAAGAGACATTGTGCTAAATCTACCCAACCGTAATGCAATAACCTCTGTGCTTTATACAATAGACCGGTGCAACTCAATATCTCCTCGAAAGATGTTATCACTCAAATGTTAAACGGGGTGACCACTCAAAAACAAAAGCAAAAAAGAGGTCAAATTTAGGAGTCAAATATAAATATAGTTATTTTGTTAATGTAAAACAAATGTAATTATCATACGACAGTAAATTAACTTGCTGATATATTTTAAAGAAACTATCTTTCGCTCTCTTTCTTTTTTATGTTTAGATTGATGGGTGTGCTGTGTTTGTGTGTGTGTGTGTGTGTGTGTGTGTGTGTGTGTGTGTGTGTGTGTGTATATATATATATATATATATATATATATATATATATATATATATATATATATATATATATATATATGCAAAATAATGAAAAATAATCCAAAATTAATATATTATTAATTTCAACACAATAAATACAAAACTAATAAGAAATGTTCCATTTGATTTAAATTTTATTTTACATTAAAGGGTGTTATTACATTACATGGTATTATTACATTGCATTATGACATTTGCATTATTTTAGGTGTTTTCTACAGTTATACAGAGATACATCCTGTGATTATTAGCCAGTAATAGAGGGTAGGCTATTTATCAAAAGCATAGCTTGCAAGTAATGTATATTAAACATTATAGTAGGCTCCTGAAAAAAGCGGTTTTATGGGAATTAGTGACAGCAAATCTATTATCTTTTGGGTATTTATTAATTTATTTATTTCCTTTTGCTCTGAGCTTGTTTAATTGATTTACGTCTGCTTCCGGTCCAAGATTATAACAATCAATTTACCTGATGACGAAAGGAGGCCTAAAATTGTACCAATAATTGAATTCTGCAAGGGAATAATTTTCTTTTTTCAGTTTTATTCTGTGGAATCGTGGAACCAATCGCATGTACTGAATTGCACAGAAATGTATGCAGATGCATAAAGTGATGCATTTGAAATAATAGTTATTTTTCCTTTGTGTCTTTTGACAAGATCTTGTAAGCCGGGTTTAGTCACAGGCTACACAAAAGGCGTGGTTTCTGCTTATTACCCCGAGGCACAGGGAGACTGAGGGGGGAAATGGGGACAGCACGCAAGCACATCAGCAGAGTAATATCGCAGTATGTAAACAGAACTAATGAATTTCAACAAAAATAATAAATACAATGGAATATGTACGCAACGAATGCGAATGTAGAAAACATTTTTTTTACAATGCATAGTTTTGTATAATTATACTTTAAATAAATATAAAAATGATTGCATATAAATTGCAATTTTATAAGTATGCATAAAATAACGCAGATAATCATTTTAGCTTTATTACCAAATGTTAGTGCAAACGTACTACCTGTTCGATCATCTATTCAACAAAATGTCAGATCTGCAGTGAATATCTTGCTTGCGACAGCTTGTGCTAAATATTCCGTTCTGCTATTTGCAAATGTAGATGTATAAAAAAATCTCTCCTTGGCGCTTATGATAGTGTAATTTTGTATCTCAGTAGCCTATTAGTTGCCTTATAAAATGTCACTGTAGCCACTATGGAAAAGGCCAAGTAAGAATAAGTGATAAAAATCATTGGTATCATGCTCATTCCCTTTCGCCAAAGGACGGATAATGGTGTGGTAAAACGACGATTTAACGAAGCAGATCCAACTCTGAACCATTAAAATACTTGTAAAATGCAAATGACGTTTCCTCTCATCAAGTAACATGAGCCAGACGAGCCAGACAGAGTGAGGGCGCTAGAATGACGCAGAACTGTAGTGACATTAACTTCATATCTTTGCAAAATGCATGGCCTCTCGTAAACGTAGTTTTCCCCGTGGCAAGACGAACTGTAATATCATTTACAAGCTGTGAAAAAAAATGCAAGCGATTATACAGAAATATACTCCCACTAAACATTGTAATATTTTAACAAGTTTATGCACAAAAACTGACTTGTTTAAGCATTATTATTATTATTATTATTATTATTATTATTATTATTATTATTATTATATAGCTATTAATTTAACTGTGACAAAATAATTAAAACAATATCATTAACACAATTACATTCAACATAATAATAATAAAACTATAGTGTACATCATTTTCAGAAAAGTGAGCACAAAGGAGACTATCTTGTATAGCGGTTTTATAAATAATTTGACAGAAACGCATAAAAAGAAATCTTTTAGCAATATAAGACGAAATTTACATTTCTATTAGGGCATGCTAATCTCTTCATTTCCTTTGGGTCAACAGGCTGTTTTGGAGGAAGTTTTGAGTTATACTCTGGTCCATACTGTAGTAAAATATTTGCTAGTGACAGAAAACATTCGACAGATCGTGAATAATCGTTTTAATGAGTGCGTGTAAAGCTCCCGACTTAGTGAAGGGAGCTGTCGGGTTAAACAAACAACTTGTATTGTGATGAAATTGGATTGTTTAAAATCAATATGTAATTCTTTTAATCCAGGGTCTCTCCGGAAATAAGCATTTTATATACTTACTGAACTGTATATATTTCAAACTGATCCAATGGTTCTTATCTATCTATCTATCTATCTATCTATCTATCTATCTATCTATCTATCTATCTATCTATCTATCTATCTATCTATCTATCTATCTATCTGTGTGTCTGCGTGTGTTTATTAAATATAACATATTATATATAAAATATTATGAGAGGAGATTGTGTCTTGTGGTGTAAAATATAAAAAAGTCTTAATTTTACAATTATTTGAAAATATTTTAAAGTATTAATCTTTAACACGTGACTATGAAAGGTATAAAAATCGCATTTATTTAAATTATTCCATATTTTTTAAATCTAGTTTTACAACAATGTCAAAAGCTTCCACTGATACTTTTTTGTGTTCCGGTTATATCCACATAACCTTAATGAAATAAGCTACTAAAATAAATGTGAGTTGGATTATATTTAGTAATAAATAATAATAATAATAAACACACATTGTGAAATATTTCATTTTAATATTTTAAAATGTGTTTATGTTTATTTCTATTTTATTTTTAAAGTTGTTGGCTCTCGTGTGTCCTTTGGCCTGCTGGTTTCCCAAGTTCTCCATGATTTGTGCCCCTGTTTCCTCATACTCCCTCTCTCTCTCTTCCCCTAAATGTGCGTGCTAGTGACCATGAAAATTTTTCTCAATTCGAAATGATAAATTTATATTTTTGCCAACATTCTCTCGCGTAATAGTCAGTTGCTGTATAAGCTTAGAAATAATGTCCATTCAAAATGTAAAAATTGTAAATTGAAGAAAATAAAAAGCTTTCGTTGAGTATTAATGCGCGCTCCTTTCACCACATTTCTGTGAACAGTCAGCGGTGTAGACAGCTTTTGG